TCGACTCTAAAAAAATTAGAATTTTAATATTAAATTATATCGTTTCATTTAATTAAAATTCAATTTAAAATTCAAAAATCTATATTATTAAATATTGATATTTATATTTGGAAATTGAAAATCTAATTTAAAATTTAAAAATCACCTTATTAAATGTTAACACAAGGATTTGGAAACTAGTTATATTAAAATATATAATTATTTTACAAATTTAGATATCAATATTTAATAAGGTGGATTTTTTGAATTTTGAATTGGATTTTAATTAAATAAATTACTTTTTTAAAGATGGAAACTCCAATTTTTTTTAGGAGTTGGGACTAGCCCTAGCAAATAGTTAAGTTGGGTCAAGTTTGAGTTGAATTTACTTAGATGACAAGTTCTATGGGTTGGGTCATATACAAGTCGTGAATTAGCAAAAGTCAAGTTTAACCCAACCTTAGCGTGTTATAGATTAACATGTGAGTTTACTTTATTTTCATTTTTTACAATTATTTTTTTAATTTTATTGTATCTAAATAAAATCATAAATATTTTAATCTAACTAAAACGTAGAAGTTAAGTTCTAAAGTACTGTAACTTATTAACACTAAGTACTTTATAGTTTTCACTACAAACATTTAAATTAAGAAAAAGTCATAAGTTATATATAACAATAAGCCGACTAACAATATTAAATTTAAAATATTAAAATTTTTTAGAAAAGAAAGTTTAAATTTTACAATCATCATCTTGAAACATAATTTATCAAGTTTAGGCTTCTCCTTAAAATAAAATTGCTCTTTTAAAAACTTCTTTTACTAAATCATTATGTCTACATCCTAACATCAAATCTTCAATATTTTTAGTTGCATTATCACTTAATTCATGATACTTGATAATTATATCAAATCCACATAATTTCTAAAGAAGAAGAAGAAGAAATAATGATGAGCAAGTACCAAAAGTAAGTTCAAAACCATGTGAGTAATGGAGAGGAGATTGAAGAGTATTATTTATCGAAAAAAGTTACTAATAGAAAAATTAATTAAAAATAATAGTACAATGTTTTTTTTAATAATAATAATAAAGAAAGCAAATGGGTTAACTGTCAATCCATAAGTTGACCAAATCAGATTAACTTGAACTCGACTTGTGACCTATACAAGTTGATATTACAGGTTATTTATGAGTTGCAAATTGAAATATGTAAACCTTAACATATTTTTATAGGCAAGGTTAGAGTCGAGTTAATAGGTCAGGTGACTTTTTGCCACCTTCAATCGAGATTGTATGCACTTTTCCCATATATATAAAAATTCACTTATATACAAGTTTTATATATCATATTTACACAAAATTTTAACTATTCATGAATGATTGAGATTTTGTATAAGTGTAGTTTGTAAAACTTGTGTATAAATGGATCCTTATATGTATATATAAGTAAGAATTTACTTACACATAAGTTTTACACACAACACTTATATATATATATATATGATCCACTAACACACAAATCTTACACACCACACTTACATAAAATTTTGATCATTCATCTTTTCACTTTTAATTATTGAGATTTATGTATTTTTTTATCATATTTATTAAAGATAATTATCTTTTTTAACCTAAACAATCATAATAAATCTCAACTATTAAAAGTGAAGAGATGAATAGTTGAAATTTTGTAAAAGTATAGTATGTAAAACTTGTGTATAAGTAGATTTTACCTCATATATCTATATGTTCACTTTTAATGATTGAAATTTATTTATATTTATTAAAAATAATTATTTTTATCTAAAAAATTATGATAAATTTCAACTATTAAAAATAGAGAAATGAATGGTTGAGATTTTATGTAAATGTAGTATATAAAACTTGTATGTAAATAAATCCTTCAAATATATGTATGTATGTATATATGATAGAGCATATCAGTAGGGATAGTGCAGATAAGGATGCCAACTTTGCAATTTTTTCTATTTAATGATGCCAACTTTTTTAATGTCTAATTAGGGCGATAAATTTCAATTTTTTTCTATTTAAAAATGTTAATTTTGTGTTTTTTTATTTAAATATTAATTGGATAATGATGCCAACATAGTAAACATAAAGTTGATATTCTTAAATAAAAAATACAAAGTTAATTTTTTTAAATAGAAAAAGTTGAAAGTTTATTGCCTTAATTAAAACCCAATAAAATTCACATATTTAAATAGAAAAAAATTGTACACTTGGAATCTTTATTTGCACTTATCCTTTATCTATCAGTCTTGACTTAAAAGCAAAAAAGTCTTAACTTAAAAAATACCACCAGAATTTTTCAAAAACCAATTGTAAAATTTAGTATTCTATTCATGTAAATCATATATATTAATTTTCAAATTAATTAAATATATATAACTAGTTAATTGATTATAAAAATTTATTCTCGTTAAATATATTAAATATATAGGGTTTGTATTCAAATTATTATAAATATTAGACCAACTTAAAAATTGACATTCATGATATATGTTAATGGAGCATTAAATATAATGGTTGTTGTTTTTTGTTTTTTTGTTTTTTTTTTTTTGTTGCAAATATTCATTGAATGGTGATATTTTTAGAGTTGAGACACTAATTTTGATGAAGATTGAGGTTAATATGCCCTTATATATATATATACACACACACACATAAATATGGAATTTACTTATGCATAAGTCTTTCATACGACATTTATATAAAATTTTAATAACTCACTTTTTTACTTTCAATAGTTGAAATTTTTTTCATTTATTAAATATAATTATCTTTTTCATCTGAAAAGTCATAATAAATAAAAATATATATATGATTTATCTTTAACAAATATAAAAAAACTTAACCATTGAAAGTGAAAAGATGAATGTTTGAGATTTATTGCAAATATAATGTATAAAATTTATGTGTATGTGTATAAGAGGACCCTTTTCTTATTCGAATTACCAAAACATTTTTTCATATATTTTGCAATTACAGTATGAACCCAACAAAATGTGTGTGTATTTCAGAGAATCCTCTTATTCGAATTACCAAACATTTTTTCATATATTTTGCAATTACAATATTATCCCTACAAAATGTGTGTGTATATAAGAGGACCTTCTTATTCAAATTACCAAACATTTTTTCATATATTTTGCAATTACAGTGTTATCCCAACAAAAAAGAGAGAAGTGTGTGTACATCAAAGGACCCTGTGTGTATATCAAAGGACCCTCTTATTTGAATTACCAAAACATTTTGTGTGTGTATCAAAGGACCCTCTTATTCCAATTACCAAAACTTTTTTTCATATATTTTGCAATTACAGTATTATCCCAACAAAATGTGTGTGTATCAGAGGACCCTTTTATTCAAATTACCAAACATTTTTTCATATATTTTGCAATTATAGTATTATCCCAACAAAATGTGTGTGTATCAGAGGA